GGCGGCCTCTTGCAAGCCATGGTGTACGTGCAGGGCGTAAACCTGGCCTGGCCAAAGGCTGTGCGCAGCCAACAGCAGTGCCGTAGAATCAGCCCCTCCACTGTAGGCCACGGCCAAGGGCAGGGGCATTTGCGCCTGGCGCAAAGCGGCGATTAGCTCGGCCGCTAGAGTGGTGAATTGTTCAGATAGAACCAACATAGGGGTTGTGTGAGAAAAGTTTTAACGCCACGTTTGGGCCCTTGTATTGTGGCAGGGTTAGTTATTTGGAGTATGGGCTTTAGTGTAGCCGCACAGGACTCGCCCGATGCCACGCCCCCTATAAAGCAAAGCAAAGCCTGGTTGAGTGGAAAAATGAGCCATGTCGCCGATGGCGACACTTTTTGGCTAAAAACCACGCAGGGCGAACGGATGAAAGTGCGCATCGCCACCATAGACGCGCCCGAAATTTGCCAAGCCTGGGGGGCCCAGGCCCGTGCCGCCCTGCAAGAAAAACTGGCCGGGCAGGTACTCAGCCTGGAGCGTTTAACCCACGACAGCTACGGGCGGGAATTGGTACGTGTATACGTCAATGGAGAGGACGTAGGCCGCTGGCTGGTGGCCCAGGGCCACGCCTGGAGCTATGGCACAGCGCGCCACCCCAGCCTCTACACGCCCGATGCCCTGCGGGCGCGACGCAGGGCTTTGGGGCTATGGGCTGCGCCTGAGCCCGCGGAAAAACCAAGGGATTTTAGACATCGGCACGGCAGTTGTTATCCGTCACGGTGAGTAAACGCAGCTGGTTTTCTTTCTGTAAGAGGCCTACAAGCGTCTAGAATTCATCCTTTACATCGCCTCTGCCTGCCCCCCCCTGTGACACATTCATCCTCTCTTCTTTTTTTCTTGCTTTTGCTGGCGCAGATTGTTTTGTCGATTTATTTTATCGCTCGCATTCTTCACCGTCGCCGCCCTGCGGGTGTCAATTTGGCTTGGATCATTCTTGTCCTCTTGCTGCCCTATGTGGGCATCATTGCTTACATGCTACTGGGCGAGCATACGCTCTCGCGTGCCCGTTTAGTGCGCGCCGCACAGATGGAAGATTCGCGCCGCCACTGGTTGGCACAAATCCCGACCACCAGTTATCAGGCCAGCAGCTGCGCGGTGGAGCAAACCTGGCGCTCTTTGGCCCTGCAAGCCCATGCACAACTGGGCATACCACCCACAGACGCAAAGAATTTACGCCTGCTGACCGACACGGTGGCTACCTGGGAGCTGCTGGCGCAAGACATCCACGCCGCCCAGCACAGCGTGTGGTTTACCTTTTATATTTGGCAAGCAGGCGGCGCGGTCGACACTGTCGCTCAGGCCCTGATGGCTGCGGCCGAGCGCGGGGTCAGCTGTCATGTGCTGCTGGACGCAATGGGCAGCAAAGCCTTTTGGCATAGCCCTTGGCCCCAAAAGCTCCGCACCGCTGGTGTACAGGTGGAAAGCGCTTTTGCAACGGGATTGATACGCTCATTCTTTCAGCGCATTGATTTGCGCATGCACCGCAAATCCGTCGTCATTGATGGCCAGATTGCTTACACCGGTAGCATGAACTTAATAGACCCACGCACCTTCAAACAAGGCTCAGGCGTAGGCGAATGGGTGGATGCCATGCTGCGCTATGAAGGCGTGGCGGTGCTGGCACAATTGGGCCTGAATGTGTGGGACTGGAATATGGAAGCGACCACAAGCAGCGCAATGGTCGATTTGCCGCAGCTGCCGCCCTATATTCAGCAGCTGCTCTCTGGTGCAGCCGCAGCCGCGCAGCAAGACACCAGCCCCC